ACCCTCCGAGGCCGACCGCAGGGAGCAAGCGCTGAGCTGTCTCCGGAAGGCCCTTCCCGGGCTCGGGGGCGCTCAGGCGCCAGGCAGGTGCGTGGGGAAGGAGGACTGGGGTGCCCCTGTCTGCCCGTTGGGGATCCCAGAGGCCAGAGGGGTTGGGATGGTTGGGGTTCTGCGCCACCTGGCCGTGTGATGGTGAGGCCTCACCCTCCAGCCTCAGTTTCCTCATCTGGGAAATGGGAGAATGAGATCGGGGAGCCAGAGTGCTTGGCGGGCAGCGGGAGGGGGACACAGCTACCATCTGAGGCTGCCGCCTGCATGCCGTTGGGGGTACGGGTACAGCGGCACTGCCACGGGGTCCCCAGGTGGCTCGGTCCTGCTGAGGACCCCTGTTTAACACCCGGGTGTCACCTGTCTGACCCGGGGGTTCTGAGCCACCCGTGCCTTCTGCACACAACCGGAGCGGGTGCCATCCCGGGATGGAGGAGGGTCGTGCCAATGTCCCGGGCTGGGCCAGCCCAGGCTGGTGTGCGGGCAGCGCTGGAGCCCAGGGTGGGAGATCGAGGTGTCACAGGGCGGGTCCTTCCTGCCTCTTCCAGCTTCTGGTGCCCGGGCACCCCTTGGCTCGCGGCTGCCTCCTCCCCTGCCTGTCACCACGCCTGTCTCTCTGTGTCTGTCTGCCTGTTGTCTCTCATAAGGACGTGTCATTGGACGTGGGGCACCTTAATGCGGGATGGCCTCACCCTCACTGATTACACTGGCAAAGAGCCTGTCCCTGCCGGGGGCAGGAATTGTGGGGACACCATTCAGCTCACTACTCACCTAGCGAGTAAGGAGATGCCATGCCCGGCTGGCACACTGCCCACTGCCTTGTGCTGCCCCCTGCCCAGAGCGGCCATGGCTCCCGGGTGGCCACGGACCAGGAGGGCGAGCTAGGCAGGCCCGGGCGGGCCACGGCTCTGCACAGGCGGGGGAGGGAGGGACAGGGTGCGGCCGCTCCTCGCACACCCCATACCTGATGTGTTCGGGGGGCATTTGAACCTCATCCCACACCAGCCTTAAACAGGAGAGTCAGGTCAGACGTACGGCAGTGCCGGGAGCGTGTCCACGGCCTGTCCCGCCTCCCTGGAGGGGCCTGCCCTCCCCCAGGAGGGTGGGCATTGGAACCAGCCACCGAGGGAGGCTGAGGGGCTTCTGCTGGCATCATGGGAGGGACTCCTGGATCCACCTGTGCCTGATCCCTGCTCTCGCACCCACAGGCCCTCCCCAGCCACTGCCTCTGCTTCCAACGGCCTTCCCAGAGCCGAAGGGCCACGAGCAGGTCCGTCGGCCAAGCTGCCACAGTCGGCGTCTCCCCCGGCCCTCACCCCCCCGGCCAGG